CCCCCCCCCTTTGCTCCCAACGAACCACGGCGGCAGAGGGACCTCACGGCCGGGTCCTGTCCCGCCAGCGGCCGCGCGCCCTCCGCGGCGCGTCCCGTCCCACCCCTCACTCCCGCATCCCGCCGCGCCGCCCGTCCGTGCGGTTGTTGCTGCTGCTGCTGCCGCCCTTTGCTGTGCGCGCACCAGGTGGGCCGTCCAAGCGACATCTGGTCCCTGGGCTGCATTCTGTACCAGATGGTGCGCGGATGAGGAACACAAGCGTTCATGCACTTGTTTGTTTCTAGCTTGATTGCAATACACACACACACACACACACACACACACACACACACACGCATACGTACACACACATGCACACACGCACACACACATACACACGCCGGAAATCAATTGCTTTGCAGCCAGGCAGGATAGCTTGGGTGCTGTGAGGCTGCGTGTCGACATCCATACGGCTTTGCAGTGCACTTATCCAACAACAGGGTGCTGCGGGCTGCACGCATGCTTGACCTGCCCCCCTCACGCCTGTGCGCGCACAACTCCCACCGGCGCGGCCCTGCGGCATTGCACAGTGGCCCGCGCGTCTCCCCTGCAACGCCCTCGTGCGCTCCCGCCCGCCGAACCCTATTACAAATCCGCGCATCCACCGAGATCCGCTGGACCGCTCGACTTCCCCTGCTTTCGCAACCCCCCAGGTCTACGGGCGCACCCCCTTTGCCGACCTGCCCTTCATCCCGAAGATGCACGCCATCTGCGACGCGCGGCACGCCGTCAAGTAGGGCCGGCTGCAGGCTGGGGGTTGGGGTTGCGGTTTGGGGTTCAGGGTCGGGGTTGGGGGCTGCAGCGGGGCCAAGAGCGCGCAGTGGCACGGTCAGAGGACAGGGGGAGGCTCAGCAACACACACACACACACACACACACACACACACACACACACACACACACTCTCTCTCTCTCCAACGGCACCCCCCATGCCCTCCCAGATACCCCTCCTGCCCCAACCCTGATGTGGTGGACGTCATGGCGCGCTGCCTGGACA